GTTATTTTTAAAATTACCTCCTATCCTATAAAAATATTTTATAGCTATATAAGCTCAGGAAACCCGGGGCGAAGCCCCACAGAAATTTATTAATTCCCCCTCTCCCTTAGGAAAATCCTGGTTACGCCAATGATTAGTTATTGCAAAATATGTTGATCTATAGCTAATGGTTCACCAGTTGTAGTTAAAGCAAAGAAACTAAAAAGAAGGAGGGCTATTTTACAGGTGCTTCAATGGTGATAGTAGTTTTGGCTATATTGAGGAAATTAGAAATTTATATTTTTATATAATATATTTTGGTATAATTTGCCAATGTATTACAAATTTACGGTTTTATTTAAAGGCAGAAATAATAAAATATTTCGGAAATTACGAGAGAAAATATAGTTAGTAGACTTATTTTAGGTAGAATTTTATGATATTACATTAGATATTGGAACAAAAGATTAGGATTAATCGTTAAATTACACAAGCTGTCGTGGGATAAAGAAAGAGTAGAATCGATATCAAAAGAAATATTTAGAAGCTATCGTTATAAGCAAAACATAATTGAAAAGGTCAAAAATTAATCGTCAATCGTCTACTAGAAATCTTTAGAAACAAAGAACAATAAACAATGGGCTAGCTAGGATATCGCGTTAATTGTTTACGAGTGGACGCTAAACAAGCAATTTTAAACAAAAGGAAAGGATAAATTGTAAATTATACATTGCAAGCAACAAAAGTTTGAAACGATCAGGATATTGTCATCGTTTAATTGAAAAACGTTATCGCTACAAGAGGTATTTATCGTTTATTAGAGATAAGGTATTAATAATTTACAAGGTGGTCATTAGAAACTAGTAAGAGATGATTAACAAAGGGCTAAGATAAATATTGAAGGGTTAATAAACTGACATTAGCAAATAAAGGTTGAAAAGATACTAGAATTAATCGTTTAGCGTTTACAAGAAGTTTTTAGCTTCCTTAGCAAAAGACTTATTAATCTTTATGTTTTAGAAGAGGTCTTCAAAAGCAACAAAAGGTTTAAAATAGACTAGAATCAATCATTAATCGTTACAAGTAGTCTATTGATGTTGCAAAATTGTCGTCGCTAGAAGCCACAAATTGTTAATAAATGAGGTGATGAATACCTTCTGTCTAGCGATAAAGATAACAGTAGAATCGATATCTGTACAAGCTGTAATAGGGAAACAAAGAACAATCATCACAAGCGTTATAAGATAAAACTATTGAGCTAATGTAGTATATCGATCGTTCATTATACAAGTAATCGGATGATAAACGAAAGATGACACTCGCTAATAGATGCGTTCAAATTATCTAAGTGTTACAGAGCAAATAATATGTTTATTTAGCGGCGAATTATGGAAAGATTTATTCATATAATAATTTGATTTTTTGTTTTATCTTAATTTTTTATATAAAAAAATTGATGAAATTGTCATCGTGCCAAAATGGAAAATATTGAAGACTAAATATTTACGTTAAAGTGTTAAGTCAGCCAAACTTTTGAAAACATTGACTCTGAAACTTATAGCCATAAATAATATGTATTTAGTTGGCATTAATGCTTTAACCAGTTAGATAGTTTAAAGAGAAAAGCATTAAAGACAAAAAAAAAGAAAAAAAATTCAATCCAGAACGAAAATTAAAGAAGCATTATTAATAATTCATCAATTCATTTATTCAGTCAACAGAAAGCAGTTATAAAAATAAAAATTATAAGGACACACCTTATCCTGAGTTTGAAATATCTGATTTTGAATGGTTCAAAAATCTATTATGTCTAAATACATTGAGGTTTCTTTTTATTCGATTCAAAATTTCTTAATCTTAAGATTTTGTTAAATATATAGGTACTATTTGCACTTTTCGATTAATTTATTAGATATAGAAGTGAGATATATAAAATCTCATTAAATCGAGCTATATTTTAAAAACTTTGATATGAATCTGAATCTTATATCAATATGCAGTCCTACCATGAGGCTTGCTAAATTTTTAAAATCAATAGTCCTAAAGCTAAGGGAAATATGTAATGCATGAACTAGTATATATTATAGATTTATGTTTCATTCCTTTGATAAATAGTAAAAAAAATATTATTTTCAAGATAAAACGAAAAATTTAGAAGTACTAAAGCAATTATAATAAAAAATAAACTAAATGTATTTAAAAAAAATTATTCTCATTATTATAAAAATCAATATTTTCTCCTATTTTAAAATATGACACTCCTCCTGGTTGTAGGCTTGATACTTTTCAAATTTAGTAGCGGTTATGATATAAAATAAAACAGATTGGTTGAAATTACGATTACAATAGATAATTTTTATATAATTTTTTACCCTCAAGCGCTAAGGTTGAGCAATTGATTAGTAAAGTTATAATAAGTGCCCTTTTGCACTTGAAAATAGAAAAAAACTTTGATCCTATACGAATTGTAATTGCCTTTGGGATGTGGCCCGCTTTTCAATTTTTTTTATATATAATTTACAGAGTTGTTAAAGGATCTAGATATAAAAATGTGGTATCTGTATCTATATAGATTTTTGATTAAAATATCTGTATCTAGATATTATTTTAGACGATGTATCTGTATCTAGGTATCTTTTAACAACTCTGATAATTTATAACAACTTTTTTTTTAATATGAGAAAATTCAAATATGCCTTCACTAATTTCTTATTTATATGAGTTTTTCACGTTAGAATATATTTCTCAGATGATTTAATAGAGATATAAAAATTAAGAAGGGAGTTTTATCAAAATGATAGAAGCAAATGTTGTCTAAATATTATAAAATTTATTAATGAAAGCCCAAAATTTAACCCAATCATATTTTTTATTCTCCCCTCCTTGTCTACGCCTCATTGGATATGCGCCAACAATTCTTTTATTTAGAAGTTTATTTTCCAAATCGATATATCATTTGAAATAAGTTGATGGAGAGGGTGGCAAAGGGAAATCCCCTTTCGAAAATTTTCCTGATCTGTAAATGTTGCAGTTTTACTTTACAAAAAAATGCATTATGCAAATCGTAAACAAAAATAATGTTATATTAAAATATCCCCGTCTATGTAAATGAGAAAAAAACGCGTGAGATTTGTAGATTTTTTCATACTTTAACAGTTTTAACAAGTGGGATGTAGAACTTTTTATTCTTCGCTAGTGAGACTATGTAAATGTTGATTAAAGAAAAAGGATATATAATGGAGAAATTATGATGCGAAAAAGGGGATTATTATTTTAACTAAAATTTACTTTTAATTATATTTTATTTTATTTTTTATGATTTTTACTATTATAATTTTGAATAAAGAATTAAAGTTGATTTTATGATTTCGTGATTCCTAATTATTATTAATTTCCTTTTTATATATATATATATTTGTTTTCTATTTTTATATTTAGGTTTTGATGCACAATGACAATCTTGTCGTTGTGACAGTAAATATCATTTTAAGCGAATAAAGTTATTCCCCCTACACCCCCTCCCCCGCCTTCCTCAAAAAATATATGATATATATAATTATAAACGATAATTTTAAAGGAAAATAGGCAAAAATAAATAATCTTTTAAAATAATTATACTTATAATTCAAAATTTTTAGAAATTTTTTTTATATTAAATCAAAACTATTCCATAAAAAAGGCTAAAGGCCTACAATAGGTGATTTCAAAGATCTCCTATAAAATTTATAGGGAAAAACCCAATGACTTGCAGGTGAGGTCCTAAGCCCGGTCGTATTTTAGTTCTTTTAAGTAGAGATCTGCCAAAGTAGTCCCGGCCCGAACGGGCTTCGGACAGGGCCTAATATTTTTTAAGAAAATTCGGGCCGGGTCTTGTCGGGCCTTAGAAATTTTTTAAAATATATCTAAATTTATTAATTTTATGTTGAATTTTTTATGTAAAATAAAAATATGTGATTTTATTTATGGAAAGTAGAAGCCATATAACATATATCGTTTATTTTGATTTATAAAAATGAATTTCTATATTTAAATAAATTCAGGCCAGGCAGGCAAAATTTTTTAAAATAATATTTCGGGTAAAAAAATTTCGGACCGGACCAGGCTTGAAAAATTAGGCCCGATGCAGATCCCTACTTTTATGGGCCGGCCTAAAAAAATTTTTAAAAATTACCCATGCAGGCCATGAAGATTTTTAAATATAAAAGTACCTCTGCACGTCTTCGAAAAAAAAACGAACCAAATAATGCCCCCCCCTCTACCTAAGCAAAAATTCTGCCTACGCCTGTTTTCATAATTTTAAAAATATGAATAAATATCATTTGGCCAAATAAATTATTATTTATTTATTTTTCAATGTTATTAAAAGTGGACTGCTCAAGGTCAAGGCCATTGGTCAACATAATGATCGATATAATATTTTATAGAAGTAAATATTACTGGATTTTTTTTAGCCTTAGGGGTGTGCTAATTTTTTAATTATTTTTAGGTATTGTTAAACGGCTCAAAAACGGACTAACGCTTGGACATCATTTAACAAAATTTCGAGGCTTGCGTTATAATATTTTTGCTAAAATCAGCCGTTTAACATCATAGGAGCTACTAAAATTTCTATTTTTGTGATGTTAAGCATCTTTATGCCTCTCCCTTCTGATGCCGATGAATTTGAAGAGGTCAAAATAAGGAGGGTGTGTGTAATCTCTGAAAGGTTTTACACAGAATATAATTATATATGAATGATTATTTTTATATTTATATCGATTTTTTTAAAAAAAAAATTCATTTTTTTACTTTTACTTTTTTTTAATGAGTTGGTCAATAAATAAGTATTACCAATGCAACAATGGATGAAAAATAACTGTTTTCTTATTTTTTTTTACATTGTATGAAAACCACAACAATAAACATATCTTTCCTAATGTGTAACGAATTTTTTATTTATGATAAATAACAAAAATAATAAAATAAAGGATGAGTAACCAATATAAATTATCTTTATTATAAATATGTAATTGTTTATATGGCTAATAATATTCAGATAAAATAATAAACTTGTAACTTTTTTTTGCGACCTTTAAAGGGAATAATTTTCATTTTAAATATTTTATGATAAATAACTGTTTAAAATAATTGATTAAATTAAATTTGTGAATTAAAATATCATTCCCCTTTTCCAAAAAATGCAATAGACTAAGAAATTTTAAATCTTTCCTTAAAAATTTAATACCGATTATTTTTCTAATAAATTTTATTATTCCAAAAAATGGAGGCGGTAAGATTATATTTGATTAATAAATTATCAAAATGACTATTTTTTTTTGATTAACAATATAATTTTAAAAAATTTATCACTATATTTTAAAAAAAGTTAATTACTAACCAATCAGACATGACAATTTTACAATTACAATCATAGGTTGTTTTTTTTTATTTTTTAATTTTTCCAATCAATAATCAATAGCCTAAAAAATAATATTATTGATTTTAATGTATTTATTACGTTTATTACAATAAAATATAGATAATTAAATATAAAAAAAAATTTTTTTGAAATTACCTTTAAAAAGAAATTTATGATTTTGTTGTTTTTCACCAACATGAATTTTATTTATTCATTACATTATAAATTTAATCTTTTCTAAAAATTGAAATAGTTATAAAAAAAATATACCCTTAAAACTTTTTAAAAAAACAAAGTGGTTGATAATAATTAAAAGATTTTATTTAGCATATTATTATTATAGCTTTAAAAAATACATTTGAACTTTTTGAAAAAATAAATAAATACAATTTAACCCACTTTGTAGAGTGCTGTGTGTTAAATGTGGCCATATTTTTATTATAATAAAATTTTATAATATGTAAAAACAAAGTTCAGGAAATTTACATTATGTAATGAATATTTAATAATTATAGTAAAATAGAAATTTTAGATAATTATAAATCTAAATATTAAAAGTCCTTACTATCAGTATTATTTTATAAAAAGTCCAATATCTAATATTTCTAGATGATTACCACTTAATTAAATGTTAAAATAATTTTAAATGAATGATATTATTTTATTTTAAACATTATATAATAAAAACTGATGAATATTCAATCCATATCTGATTGGTTTTGGGATCCTAACTTTTGGCTGCCACCAAATATTCAGTGGGATGACATTAAAAGTGATCCAGATAGAGGTTTAAGATATCCTGAGGCAAAAGATTTATGGACACCTTTATATTTAGCTGGAGTTATTATGTTGATTCGATATATTTTTGAAAGGTAAATTAATATATATTTTATAGATTATGAATGTAGATCCATAATCCAATTTTTTTATATTTGTTATGTCTATGATAAATATTTTATATGTAATGATATTATTTATGACTTCATTTGATGATGAATATATTAGAAATTATTTCAGACAGTTAAGTATAGTTTTCTAAAAATAAACTATTTTATTTCTTTTCATTATTATATTTATTTATTATTATTTTTTTTATATTAACTTTCAACAGTGCTGGTTTATAAATTTTTAGATGGTGTAAGTTTTTATGCTATTTAAAAAATGTCTAAACTATTATATAAAAAAATTATTGTTTATTAAAGAGGCAGATTTAACTCACAGGGGAAAAAACGAAGTTTTGGCTTCAAATCCTAGTTGAGGATTCTTTACTTTTAATTTATTTATTATATGGCATGTGGGGTATATCACAGGCAAAGACTTTGTGGGTTAATTCTTATTTAATTTAAATAAAATATACTTTGATATATTCAGATGTTTTATGAAAAAACGTAATCAACCAACCCCATATTCATTGGGGGAAGGGGTGGTTTCAAATTTATTTTGGCCACCAACCTAATGGCTTATAAAAACAAAAAAAATAAATATTATCCCCCAAATAAACTCCTCTTCCAAACTGTAGCTTATAGCTTTTTGGATATAGGTCTAAAACCAAACCATCTTATTGGAAGTCATTGGTTATCACCTCTACTAACTAGCATACATTTTTTTCACAAGTTTAAAGTTATCTCACTAAATATACAATTATAAATAAAAAACTTAGGGGAAAAAACTTAAAACTGCAGGAATAAGAATCTCTAATATTAAAAAGGAAATATAAGTAAACATGAAAAAAAATAATATCTTTTAAATAAAATGGAAAAAACATTTTTAAACTTTGTTGTAAAGATCTGCAAGGCCAATTTTTTGCACAATATGCATGGTCCCTTATTTAAAATTTTAATCTGTTCATTGGGGACCGATAGTTTATTTTTACTAATTTCCTAGCCTGTAAAAATTTTATGAAAAATCTGACTCAGTCCGTTAAATTTTTTTGTACAAATTTTCTGGTCATCACATTTTTAATAATCTACATCAAAATTTTCCCTAATGTCAATTAAGACTAATATATCTCTACTCTATGGATATTTATAAAACCGTTATCTAAATCAATTGAGATCCTATATTGTGTATTTGTGACTAGATCATATAAATAATTTCTACATTTTTTGTGTGAATTTACTATTTTATTTATAAATTGATTTAGTAATTTAGTTAGACACCTCTTGAAATACAAAGAAATAAACATATTATAAATAGTATTAATCATGATCAAAATATTAGTTAGAAATTCAAAAAAAATATATCAAAATTTTAATGCCCATGCTGGTACATTAAAATTTTACTAAAAATTAGAGATTTGGGAGGTCCAGCCCAATTTTTATGTGTAATTATTCAGCTTGAACCATTAATTTTTTATGTAGGACTGGGATCTTTGATTGAGCCAGACTTTGAATTTGTTGATATAAATAAAATTGAAAAAAATAACCAACCATTTTTTAAAGTGGATAAAATATTTTTTAAAAAAATTTTCATTGATATAGTTTTTCCCCCTAAGATTTTTTTTTCTTTTTTCAGATGAGTTTCTAACACTCTTTTATCCCGGGTTTCGTTTATTTCTTTAATATGGATGATTAAAATTAAATGGAGATTAGATTTTTGATAAATTTTCATAGTTTTTAAACATTTATAAATATTTTTTTTTCCCAGGTTTTGTATACGGTTTCATTTTTTTTTAAAAACTTAGGGAGAATATACTATGTAACATGTAAGAATAAAGACCAATATAATTTATGACAATTTTTTAAAAAATATATAGGCAACAGAAACAAACAACTATGCATAATTTCATTTTTTTTCTTCTTAGATAGCCTAATTATCCAGTTTGGAAGAATATAAATTATTTTACTTTTTCTCTTCTTGAAAAAAAACGTCGTTTGAAAATGGCCTAAATATCTGTATATTGGATTATTTTAAAATAATCCTCAAAAAAAGGTTAAGAAAATAGGTTTATTTGACAAATCACATGCAGTATATATATATACCACACATAAAAAGCACTTTGCGTAAAAGGGCTTCCATGATTGATTTAATATTAAATATAAAACTTTGTAAAGGTGACCGATCAGCCCACGGAGATGGACACATAAAAACGGTCAATTTAGCTGTTTATCATAAGCATTTTATCTTTGTACAAACAAAAAAAATTCAACTTTATTTAAGAAAAAGAAATTATTTTAATTAAATTTTATTTTTTAAAGAAAATATCATTATGTGTCTTTGGAAAATTAGAAAAGATTTTAATATTCAAATATTTTAGTCTATATATCCTAATCATTTTTTATGTTATTTCGATTTCATTAAATGTTTTTTATATTTTATTTACATTATGAAATTTATGAATTGGTTTGTATAATATAAATTTTTTTTAAAAAATTCAACTATATTTTAAGCCATGATTTATAAGAACATCACATTTCTAAACAGATAAGAAAGATGAAAGAAAGTGCTTATAAGAAAAATATTAGGAACCCCTATACAGTTTATTGAATGCTTGATAAAATTAACCATTCTATAAAAACGGCGGTACCTTAGCCAAAAAGGTCACCTCAGGCTTGGCTTTTTTGAAAGTATATGGGTCGCCTTTGAAGATGACTCATAAATGCATCAACTCATACCTCAATAATTAGTTAAATTTCTTCGGAGCAGAATTCGCCGATTTTAAGCCATTACCCAACTATATATTATGTTATGGTAGATATTTTTAGGTCAGGTTGTTGCAAAATATTTTTAAGGGCAACCTACAATAAGCAAATTTATATCTTATTTTCTGTATAAAAAATTATTACGGGCCTGGCTGGACAAATGACCGAAATGATTTTACTGACCGAACAGAAAAATCTTTTCATAAATTTCCATTGGCCAGTTTTGGATCGGCTTGCCTTTGCTTTATAAGGTAAATGTATATTAAACTTTTCACGTGTACTTTCATTTTCTCTCTCTTTTCATTCGATTGCCTTTTCCGATGCCCTGGCCCCGTAGAACTAAATTATAAGAGTTATGCTTTTTTAAAGATTTTAATGGAGATATAAGTATTATAAGCAAATGTAAGAAAGAAGAAAATTTTTTATATCATTTATCCACTAAATCAATTTTTAGCGCTTCCCAGAGTTTATACAACTGTTAGATCAAATTTTATGATAAACATTTTGTGTATATACTATATATAGCTTAGTTTTTTTATGTTAACCAAATTTTCTATTCCAAATATTTATTTAGCTGAACACCCATATACGTTCTTTCATAAACCTAAAAATAAACCCTCCTACTTATTTTGCTTTGTTTATTGATGATAGCATAACATTGATTATGATATTTAGAGCTGCACTACAACAATTTATTTTTCTCCTCTGATCCGAACCTATTTATTCTAACCGAACTTATTTACATATTTAAATTTACTTAGAATTTTTTATTAGCATTTTCTTAGTTATTTTATATTAGACATGATCAAGGAAAAATAGAGACCTATCACTTAGATAAAATTTAAATTAAATAATTCACGCTATTTTAGCTTTTTTAAACAGATCTTTCGAATATTATATTAATTGCATCTATAAATAATATTCTCGGACGCGCTGCAGGATATTAGAACTTTTTTGTGCATATCATTTCAAGCTCTTTGGGAGATTTGCCCTTCAATGGAAATGGGATAGTTTTTTTATTTCGACTTCTTTTTATAGAGAAATACCAAACATTAAATTGTGATCTATTCATATTTGTCCCCAATTTTTAACAGTTTTCCAATTTTGATTTAATTTCGGGTCAGAAAAATCTTATATTATACTTGTCTCGACATGATTGGGTTTTTAAAAAAATATTGGTCAATCCTACATTCTCTTTAAAAACCCAATATATTGCAATCCTACATTCTCTATAAGAAATCAATATCTGTGCCGGACACCATATTAATATCGGCGAAGTCCTGGTAATATCTAAAGTTAAAATTAATCGTATAGCTACATATCATAGAATAACCTTATCAAAAACAGAAGCTATTAGGAATTTATGCGTTTTACTTTATTATAAAAATCATTTATCAAATTTTATTATTAACAAACGAAGAAAATAACATAAAAATAAATTTGAACATAAAATGTTGTTTAAATTATCATCGCTTATCTATATATACATTTGAAAAACAATTTAGATTAAAAAAAAGTATACTTTAGGCGTCAAAATCAATTTACACCAATTATTAAATGTATAATAGCGAATAATAAATAAAGAATAAATTTACACAAAGTAATTATTAAACATAGAATAACCACTTAAAGTATTTCAGATAATGGACTTGTAGTATCATGTTGAACACTTCAATAGAAGCGATTAATTTTTTTCAAACATTTAGGAATCACTTTTCAAAATTATCTTTAACTAAAAAAATAAATTATCCAAATTTTCTTGGTGAAAGGAAAGAGTAGAGCGGAATCCTTTTAGAATAAGGGAAAAATGATAGGAGCAAGTTCTACTCGTCGGCGATTAAACCGGCATTATTGGCTTGCGAGAAGAGCAGAAGTGTTACAGAAATGAGCATGCCCAAATAGATATTGTGTAAATAAAATAAGATGCGCATATAGAATGAAGCTATAGTTCAGGGTTGATTGCGAAGAAAAGAGACGCGGGGTATATTGGAAAGGAAATAGCGGGATAAGTAAAAAATAGAAAAATGCGATTGTAGAAGACTTAATTCTTAAGCCTAACAGATGAATGATCAAATAGCATGGAAGATGTAAATGAAGGGAGCATAAAGAAATCTCATGATATTAATATGCAATATTGTTTTTTTTGGATATTGTATTTTAGAAATTTGATTAAATTTCCACAAGGTGAAATATCATTTTAAAGGGAATAGTATCTCCTCCTTTTCTTATTAAAATTTATCAGACGATTTTTTAAAAAATGTTATTTATTTAAAAATAAACGAAATATACTATTCAAAATATTTTAAACAAGTGTGAATGATACATTTAGCATTACTATGCAAATTATAGTATAATATAATTTAGTAAAAGATAAACTATTTACTAAATCTTTTCAAGTTAGTAAAAATAAATAATAAAATTTGCATTAAAAACTATATTTTTTTTAAAATAAGCATGGAAGTTAATTATAACCCCCCCCCCCTCCCCCATATCCTGGTGGTTCTTTAAATTAAATTAAAAATTCAATAAATAATTTTTTATTATTATTATATTAGTTAATTTGTAATTTCTCTAAATTCACGTAGGCGATTGTTAACTAGATGTTTTCACGTTTTAAGGTGGATTTTTTAAAAATAATTAGCCGATACTTAGCATATAAAATTTATATTATGCAGCTACTATATTGGTTTCTCTCTTCTTTTCTCCGGGTTGGGGTTGAAAGGTTTGCTTGAAATTTATTCGACACTCGAAACTTAATATGATTAATAACTTAAGAAAGAATTCTTACCTTGACTAAATCTAGAAATCGTTTAATGATTTGGGTAATATGCGGATAAACAAAATTTCTCTAGATTTTTTTTACCCGGCCCAAATCTTTATTTTTAATAATATTTTGGTCCTGCCAGGTATTTATAAAATTATTTTAATTTTGTAAAATTTTTGGCATATTTTGTAAATTGTTATAAAGGGAAATTGAAAATATGAGCAGTATAGTCCGTTATACGAATTTTCCAACAAACTGCGGTATTAAATATTTTTAGCCTAAACTTAAATTTAAAAATAGACTTATAGCTTTTCCTCTGGGACGATTATACAATCTCTCCGACAAGCCGATATATATGAAAAATATTCGTTCTGAACGCACATCTCAAATTTCGCATGGGAACAAATTTTCGAAATCTCACAAATCTTCTAATCAAAATCATAAAAACGGGTTCCTCAATCAAAATACCGAATCGCACGAAAGGAAGAACGGTTTAAATAATGGTCGGGCCATGGATGACTCCTTTACCAACAAAAACGAGAGGTTATTGAAGAGGTATAAGCCCAGTCCACTCGTCAAATTTTCCGAGAGTTGGTAAAATTTTACGCACATTCAATATTTCGAAAAGTCATGAACCAAAGTTTATAAAAAGGAATACCATTCCCAGAAGTCGGTCTAGTCAGCTTTATTTCTTACAGCTTTTTATGCTCAAGTTGGATTTTTGATCTGCTTATATTTAAAATTCTAAATCTTTTATGAGGAAATCTTTTGAGATTTTTATGCATAAAAGAAATCTTTCACGATGAATCACAATTTTTTTTAAAAAATATTGTCGATTTAAAATTTATCTCAAAATGCCTTTAAAGATTTTTTTTCAAACTTTCTTTCGAAATTTTTGATTAAAATTTCATTTTATTTTTTTTAATTACCTGATATTTGATAAATATATATCCATTCCCTCATCCTAAAAATAATAGCATTACATTTACTACGTTGGAATAAGCTGCGATTAAAAGCGAGCTAGAACGGCCTCTTGAAATGGTTTCAAGATGTACAATATTGTAATAACCCATAGTTTCTTGAGTGTACAATATTGTAATAACCCATAGTTTCTTGAGTGTACAATATTGTAATAACCCATAGTTGAGGAAATTAGGGTAGACCGTCTGTGACTTTTTCATGTTTGTAATAATAAAAAATGTCCCAGGATTTAGACTTAAACTATACTATTATGGCATCATCATTCAGCTATAAAAAAATAAAAATTCCGATTCCCCTCTCTAGTGCTGTTAATTGGCACGATTTGAGCCGATTTTTTAAAATGATTAACTCAATATTTTATCCAGAATAATATTCGTAAGCCTAAAGATTTAGCTCGTAGATTACACCAAAGTTTGGATATCTTTTAACGAAATCTCGAGACTTAGGGAATATTTTTCTGGCTAAAATATTGAGTTGGCCATTTTTAAAAAACTGCACAAATCGAGTCGTTTAACAATATTAACCCTCTCTCATAGCTTAGTAGCTACTCTTAAATATTTGGGTGTGGTAGGTGACTAATTATCCAATTGTTTCTACTTTCGTGATAAGGTGGTCATACACTCGAGATGAATACTTATAGATGTGTTTTAAACTTCGGATCACTTTTAGTATGCAATATAGCCAGTAGAAATTCTTTAGAAAATACTACAAGCGGCTGTTTTTTTGCCTATTTATTAATTGCAGATCTCCTGGGATTACCGAAAAAGTTGAAGAATATCAAAATATAGTCATTTAGTTTTTTTGGCTATTCTCAAAAATTTTTTTGTTTATTATATTAATGTGCCTATTTAGTTGGCGATTTACGTATTACATCCTCGCTTTTACCTTTGGCGTCGCCGTTCTATGGAATGTAATGTTTTTCAATTTATTATTTACACAGAAAACCATTTACAAAGCCTTTTAACTTTCATTTTCATTATATTGAGATTTTTTAAACAAGTAATTAATTTACAACGCTTTATAATTGTCATTATAGTAAGGATCAATTTCATTGTTTAAAGCAGAAATATGTATTATGTATGGAATTGATTTTAAAACAAAATTTCTCATTATTTAAAAGAAACCATGGTTTTGGGACTCTAACGAGTGCTGGATTGGGTTTCCCTTCCAAGTATCACATATATTATATAATATATTTACCCTTTAAGATTGTTTTTTTTTAAAGATTTGTCCTTTTTTAAAATTGTTAGACATCAATCAATTAATAACCTAATCTTTTTATTAATCGCAATTTTATTTATATGTATGTATATATTGTAGACTATAACATCGGGCATGTATTGGTATTATATGGTAGAGATAGGGTTTTACTGCTCCTTGATGATTTCGCAGTTCAAAGATGTCAAAAGAAAAGTAATTAAACTGTAAATAGAAATTTGTTTATCGTTAGTTACAAGCAATCGGCATCCTAATACTTCTTATCTTAATATTTATTAACTATTTCTTGAAATACCAAGTTTACTTAATTAATTTTTTAACTTAAATAAATGTACAAACTAGTGTAACAGTTAATAAACATGATTTTATTTTTTGAAACCTCGCATAAGAAGTGAAGGAACATAAAAAAATTCATATTACTTTAGATTTTTATCTAAATCTATAAAATATTTATGGTTAGTGCCAAACCGTGTAAACAATGCTTGGAATATTTTTGAGACTTATTTCTGTTTAGCCAAGGCTATTCAGCCTTCGAGCTATCCTATTCTGGTTTATTTTATTGTACATTATAAATATTACCTGGGGAAAATAAAACAAAAACTTAGTAAATTAAAATAGCCTCTTTCTCTTTGAGTTGTTTAGAGGAAGCTATATAGACGGCTAAATAAGCAGCTGTTTAGAAATAATCCTAGCGTTGAAACAGCCTAAACGTTGGTTTATCGGAAACTTGGCAATTAATACACGTGATTTTGAATATAATATTAAGGTGGATAGAACCTTTACTTTACTACCTATAAAAAAGATTTTTTTTTTACAATGATTACTCAATCCCTTATTTTATATTACCTGCATTAAAATTTTTTATTCAAGGACACTATGTGTAACAAAAACTATATTATAGTACTATAATAATTGTTTAAAAAAATTTCAAGGATTTTTGGCAAATGTTTATCCATCACATATGCACACTTTTGCTCCTGGTTTTTTCGTGGATAGACAATATGGTTAGGATGGGAACGTTGGTTTTAGTTATACACGACGTCGTTGATTTTTGGATGGAGGTATGGATAATTTTTTTTAAGTTATTTTTTTACTTTTAAACTTTAAGCATGGGCGCATCGATATTACTTTTTGAACCGATACAGAGGCAAAGTATTGGCACGATAGACCCGATGCCTAGTTTACTAAATTAGGGGGTTATTATTAAAGTTTGTCTTATTCTATTGGCTTCGTTTAATGTACTTAGCTACAAATTTTCTTGCCTAATTTAACAATAAAGTTATCAAATTTGCCTATCCAAGATGTATTAGGAAAATTAGTAACCAATTTACTCAAAATAACATTAATTCCTAAATTCGGTGAGAAAATTTTTAGCTGATTTCAGTGAGCTAAGATAGGGTATTAGAAACGAATTTTTTATAGAACTTCGATATCTAGATTTAGTTAACTTAATTTTTCTCACACGAGGTTTTAGGTATAGTTAATAAATATACAATAAAATTAATATTAGTGGATGGTGTACCTTATCGTTGTTATTACGATTTTGAAGAAATAAATAGGTATTAAAAAATATCTATTAATGCAATTACATTATTTTATTCAAGTTACTCATAACGAAATCCAAATAATATATAAATTGATTTTCTATTTGAAAAACAAGGCTGCCAAAATGGCGAATTACTGCAAATTCTATAAACTCTGCAACACGATATTCACTCTATTCACCCTCATTTGGTTCATTACGAGATTGGTGATTTACCCTTATAGGTAAGAAGATCATAATTTTAAATGGGTTTAAAAATCTTTTAATATAATGTTCTATTCTCTTATTCACAGTTGATCAATCATGAACGATTTTGCATACAGTGTATAACATTAAAAGCTGATCAATCATAGGCGATTTTGGAAATTTCTCCCCAAAATACTTTGGTTAACCTCATATAATTAAATAAAACTTTTCCGGATTCTTTAGAAGTTTAGGAACTAGTATTTTGGAATTTAACCTTTTTTATTTAAACAAGTAGATTGCTTTTCCTCTTTCTTATAATCACTATGTATTTTTTTTTAAAATGTGGTTATAGAATCCATATTTAATATATGTAAACGGCTGCTAAGGTTATATGCCAAAGAAAAATCGCTTACCTGATCATCTGTTGCTGCCAGCGATTTTGTTGTACCATATTTTATTAACTATGCATGCATGGTGATTACTATCTGAATTTTCATCGCCGGCAGCAAAATTAGTTTTTCCCCCAAATTCTATGAACGCTTTATATATTAACTTGATTTTATTCCTCGCGTCATAAAACATCAGTGTTGCGCTACATTTTATTAACCTGAATGCACGGTTAAGCTGCATTTCATTAAACGTATTAATGTTTATTTTAGAAAGATCCAATTTTATATTGATACTAAGAAAAAGTTACATTTATAAAAAGCTCAATTTTGTGTAAGAACTGATCGATCTTTTAATGAGATAAATATTAAAAAATTGATCTCATTAAAAGATTTTAAAAAAAACTTGATTAGCTTTTACAACTAGCTTATTTATAAATGCAGCCTTAGTTGGTAGTGGGCCTTTTCAAAAACGAATAATTCGATTCTTTCAACCGAATCGAATTTGAATAGTAAATTCTACTATTCATATGTGGCTTATCAAAATAATTCGAGTCAATTAGAAATTTATCATTGTGAATAACATTATCGGATTCGAATCGAATCGAATACAAATTATAATTTTAAATAATTCGTATAATTCATAAACCTTGAAAATATTAAAATTATTCGTTGATTTTTGAATTATTTGCAAATATTTGTGATTGAAACTTTTTAAAATTAAATCCAATCAGGTATTTTATATTTTGTGGCGCTTTACAGTATTAGTTTTTATTTATTGTGATTGATTAGCATCTATTCTTACGAAAACAAATACTAAGTTATTCTATTCGAAATTTATGAATTATACTTGAATATTTTATTTTTCGTTTTGTTTAATGGAATTGAATCGGAATAATCGATAATTTGATTTTTATTATAAATAAAAATTTTAAAATTTATGTTAAAACATTTATTTTTCAAAAAAAATAGAGTCATATACCCTGCCCTTTTTATAGCTCATCTCAATATGGATTCCTTCTTCGCAGCTTATTACCTCTACAACGCGTTATTGATTTTGCTTTTCTTTCTCCACGTTTTTTGGTTCGTTATCATTTGCAAAATCGCCTTCAAATCACTCAAATGCGGAAAAGTTAACTTCAAATTAAATATATTCAAATTCTTCATTAAAATATCCTGTTTCTAAATTGGGATTGGACTGAGCCAAAAGTGGAAAACATTCATTCCACAAATAAAACTGCTACATCAAAGAGTTGATTGAAGAATAAGATTATTTCTATATCAATCAACTATTTTAGGATCTCCTTCACTCAAGATGAAAGGCAAAAACATTATTTTACCAAATGTTTTTTATTTTATGTTTAATTTTTCATGATATCTGAAATTGGAATTTTTAATAATCTTTTGCTAATATTTTGAGGTTGATATTTATAATAAATTATTTTTTCGGGTTTCTACGATAATTTTGCATAGTATAATCGCACTAGGATCTTTCTTAAATAGAGTAGTATAGAGGTGATTTAGATATATTTGAGTCTATTAAAATATATCAGAAACGCATATATGTGTTAAAATTAGTGCTGTAAAGTAATGTCTAAAATATAACATCGTAGGTGACGGCGTTACCTTTTTAGAAGAAAAGGAACGCCATTCATTACCTTCTTCTAGAGATAACGAGTAATGGTAACGCTTTTCTTTTTTTTTGAGTAATGGTAGCGCATAACCTTACACATTTCTTCAAATTTTGTCCAAAAAATATGGAAAAAACATATTTTATTGTATTATAAAATTACTTTTATTTGTTTTTTAAATTTTATAAATAATTTAAGCCGAGTTAATTCACATCAACCACCAAATTCTTTCATTTTTATTTTAGATTTCATTGTTAAATTTTCAGTCAAGATTGTTAATCTAAATAAAATTGAATTAATCAACGTATGTAAATTTATATTATAATTTATTTTATAGAATATTATGTCTGTATTTTTTTTTCAAATGAAGATGAACCTGCCTTGACTCTAATATGAAACAATTTCTACACCAATAAGGGTACAAAGTTTTGTAAATTGTGTCCCAACTTATATATTACCTCAATTTGGGAATAAACATGGGCAATTAAACTGGTTATAACAAGATGGAACTTTCTATAACTCCGGAAATTAATATTTTATTTCAATTGGATATATATTATCAGCAATAATTCACCCGCTATTTAAGTCAGATTGGCCTTCATAAAACTAGATGCCAGCCAAGGAAGGAAACTTGAAATTATTTAATGTTTGAGGAAAGATCTTGACAAAGAAAAGGCAGACTTGATTCCTTTAAAAATCAACACACGTACAGATTATTTTCTAATAAAAATATTAAAAAAATTGGATAAGGATATTAATGAAGATTATTTTGAAGATGAACTAAGGCTTTTTCAAAATAAAGATTATTCCTTAAATTTTCATTCCCCCAATTAAAATTTTTATTTATCCAATATAATACAGCCCTCCCATCCTCTGCGCCAGTTGAACGTGTGTTTAGCACAGCGATAGCTGTGTTGAGAAAGGATTATCTTACTATATATTATTTTTTCATAATTTTATTTAATTTTTTAAGTAAGGAGGGACCGTTACTTTTTTGAATAGCCAGTAACGTGCGTTCCTTTTTTTTACAAGGTAATGAATAATGGTAATGCGTTCCTTTTTCCAGACGTAACGAGTAACGCTTTATTTTTTGAAATAACCATTTACAACTAGTTAAAATATTTTTTTAATAATTATTTTAATTTTATTTATTAAGTCTTATACTAATAGTATATACCTCACTTTCAACATGTTTTCTGCTTTATCTGTAATATTTGTTGACCTTTTTTTATATAGAAGTAAATTATTTAAATGCACCCTGTGCATTAATTAATAAATACAAAAATTAATTAACAGGTGGAAAAAGATGAGAGAAGTTCTTCAGAATGCGATTCAGACGAATAGTTTATTTTTTTGAAAAAATTTCCTGAAAAACAAACTCAACACATGTTGTTTTAAATAAATATAGAAACTTAAACTTATTTATTATACCTATGTTTATAATATATTGTAAAATGCATAAAATAATTATTCCTTTTTTTTTTCTAAATCAGGTCAGAGAATTATTTACGATTTAATTATATTCAAAACGCAATTTTTATAAATCTATTAAATATTTTATATGTTTGAATTATTTAACATGTAAACTGGCCACGTTAATTTTTTTCCTTCCAAATTTATTTTCATCGAATTATTCATTTTAACAATTAATAATTGAGCCAAATATTATTGCCCCCTATGATTATTTATAAAAATCCAAATGGCTTTAAAATCATGTTTTTAATATATTATAGGAATTTATTGAACAATTTTTGCTGTTCACATTTAAAAAAACATCAACTTTTCCATTATTTTGATTTATGGCACCTTTTATTTTTATTATTATTAAAATTATTTTTTTATAAAACATTATATTTGAAATCAATAAATTCACAATCCCAGTTTAAAAGATATTCCTTGAAGGTTTTGAAATTTACTTATTTAAAATGATTTGAGTTAAGTGCCTACCTATGGAAATTTTTAGTGATGTTAAGGTAACTAGTTATAGTTACATTTTGGCTAAAAAATAACTGTAACTAGTTATATTTTTAAAATTGTAACTAGTAACTGTAACTAGTTATAATTTTTGAAATGTAACTGCCTAAAGTAACTAGTTACTTTTAACGATATATTCAAATAATTAATTTTATTTTTAATATTTGTGATAAATTAATTTTAAATTAAATTTATTAATTTAATATTTTGTGAAAATGTCTGATTGTTATAATTTCCCGTTCAAATTGATTTTCTTTTCTTAAATTGTTACATTGCTGCTGGGCTTCATAATTTTGTAAGGAAATTCAAGTAATTTAATAAATTTTAATATTATATTTATTTACAAATGTAGCACAATATATTTTTTTCCGTCAAGTAACAAGCATTGGAACTTCATATCATACGTAATAAAAAAAATTTTTTAGTATAAGGAAAAACAAAGACAGATTATTTTAGAATTTAATATTAAATTATTAATCATTACTTACAAGAACCATGTCTAACAAAAGCATAAGAACATGACTCAAATTTAAAAAAATGATTGCTTTCTGAAATTTATTTTTTGGTCTAGCCTGAATTTTATTTATATCCAAATTATATATAAAATAGACACATTTTAGAACTGTATGTTTCACTCTAATTGATTATTCTATTCCTAATTTAGATAGTGCTATTTATATTTATCTCCTAGATGGAAGAAACAGAATACAATATGGATATGGATTCTGAGTCAGATGAAGAAATTATACTTTCTCCTACAATAATTGCAAAAAAAAATGACCTTCCTTGGCCAAGTTTTGAAAAATATTTTGAATACCACAAGGCTGGTAATAATACTAATATTATTGTCAAATGCCTCTTATGCCTACCATATAAAAAGTATATTGCAGCATCTAAGTCATCCACAGCTAATTTATGGAAACATATCTCTGTAAGTTTATATAAATTGTATTAATATAGAATAATTAAATGAATTAACTTTATAACAATAATTAATATTAATTATATATTTATATATATAAAACATATATCTATAGAGAAAGCATCCTAACCAATCCGTAAATATAAAACAAACCATAGATAATAAAAAAAACAATTCAGCCACATCAAGTAAGTTAAAACAAACTAAACTTGACTTTGGTGGAAAATCAAATTTTAAAGGTATCAGCAAAGATAAATTTGATTCACAAATTATTAAATATATAATAAATGGAAATCACCCATATACAACCTGTGATGATGAAGATTTTGTTAAGCTGTTAAACACCCTGCAACCTAATATGAAGATTATATGCAGACAAACCTTAACCTCAAGAATATCAAAATATTTTGTTCAAATGAAAGATATTCTAATAGAAAAATTGTTAGAGCCTAATTATGTTTGTACAACAGCTGACTGCTGGACAGCATTTAATCGGTAAATATTATTTTTTACTAAAGTGCACAATACATTTGGTTATCTTTTGTTATATTAATAATAGCTCCTATATTGGTATAACAGTGCATTGGATTGATGTGGAGAAATTGGAAAGGCGTTCAGCTATTCTAGCCTGCCAAAGACTACAAGGTAGGCATACATATGATGTGATCAGCAAAGCTTTAACTGCTGTTTTTAAGGAGTTCCATATCCAAAATAAAAATATCTGCACAATAACGGATAATGCTAGCAACTTTTCAAAGGCGTTTAGGTATGCCTAACTATTTTACTTTATAAATTATTTCTCTTAGAGTATTTAGCTGCCCATCTATTATAATGGAGGAAGATTCTGTTTCTGATATTGAATATATCTCAATAGAAGATATAATGTCTTCTTCTGGGCTCTCCAGTTATGATATTAATGACTTCGACTACCTTCCCAAGCATCGAAGATGTTCTTGCCATACATTAAACTTAGTGGCAACACAAGATGCCAACAAGTTACTTTTAAACAATGAGGGGTATAGGAAAGTTTATAACTTAGCTATATCTAAATGCCAACGTTTGTGGAACCTCCAAAATAAATCTGGGCCATCTGCCGAACTTATTTTAAAAAAATTACATTCTCAACTCCCATATCCCGTTATAACAAGGTGGGGTTCCTTTTATAAATCCCTGGCCAAAATATTATCGTTCTTAAATCAAGTGCCTGTGGAATTTGATTCATTATGTGATGAATTAAAATTGTGTAGATTCACATCAGATGATCGTGATTTTATAAAAGAATATTGTAGTGTAAATTTAAATTAAAGTCTTATAAAAATTTACAATTTAAAAATTAGATTATGCGACCAGTGTCCAAAGCCATTGATATTCTTGAAGGTGAAAAGTACATGTATCTGGGTTATTATACCCCAACAATAACACAAATAATTATATGTATGGCAGATGTGCAGGTATTAAAATATTGTCAACCTCTAAAGGATACTATATTAGCTAGTATTGAAAAAAGGTAACTTAAATCAAATAATTATTTATAAATTAATAATATCATGTTATAGGTTTAATAATCTTTATGATAATGACAACATCATTGCTTCAATTCTTCACCCTTTATTTAAAACTGACTGGCCTTGGATTAGGCAAGAAAGGAATAAAGCAAAAAAGGAGGAAATTTTAAATTTAATAAATACCTTAATACCTCAGAGTGAATCCCAGACGAATGAATCATGCTCAAAACCAACATCACTTGATGTAGTTGGATTTTTTGACCTAAAGCGCCAAAATATTCTGGATAATGAACTTATAGAAAACTTTATCAAATCTAATAACAACACGTTTTCTTTAACGATTTTCCAAAGTTAAAATTACTCTTTATTAAATATAATGTTGTTCTAACATCAAGTGCTCCCGTAGAGCGCTTGTTCAGTCTAGGTAAGCTCATATTTGGAGATAAACGAGCACGTCTTCTAGATAATAACTTTGAAATTAATTTGTTGTTAAAAGCAAATAAACATTTATTAGATTCTAATTTTTATGAAAAATAAATGTTTTTTTTTCAATGCAAATATATATTTTTGTATTCGATGTAAATATTCAATTTTGCGATATTTTTTATATAAATAAATTGTATATTATTTAATAACTGATTATACTTTGTTTTTTTTTATATTAAATAAATGTCAATAAATAAATAATGCGCATATGAATGATGTATAAAGTAAGTAACTAGTTACTTTTGAAAATAACTGTAACTAATAACTAGTTACTTTTGTAAAAATGTAACTAGTTATGTTTCAAAAGTAACTTTTAACATCACTAGAAATTTTCTATCAAAGTTTCCGAACATAATTATTTTTACCCGTCCTATAAAATATATTTTATAACGAGTTGTATTTTGCACAATTTCTCCAGCGCAATAATATTTTTGCCTGGCTCGCAGACCAGGCTAATTTAAATAACATATACATAGAAATTTGCTAAAAACCCCCTAATTTTATTAAAACATCCGCCTATTTTTTATAATAGGAAGTAACCCTAACCCATCTCTAATCCTTAGCCCTACTCTTTTTTTGTTTTTAATAAATTTTCTGTCCTGTAAACGCTGCCTGCATAATATTTTAATATTATCGAAATGATCATAATGATTTATCTTTTTTAAATATCAATCAAATTGACAAAAGGACACCTGATAAAATTTCAAATTCTTATTTAAACATTGTAAAATTTTGTAAAAAAGGACTATTTCTTGCTTTTTTGTTAAATCGGCTAAATCTTAACTATTGAAAGAATTCGCTACACTTTGAGGCAAGAGTATATTTTTTTTCAAGATTAAGCTACCCTCTAAGTTTAAATCTCGATCGAGGTTAAGATGATAGTTTTCGCTTAAAAATTCGGTTTCGCATATTTAGAGCTGGCTCAAAACCTTTTAAAAATGGAGCTATTTATCACCACTACTTGTTGGTGGTGAACTCACTATTACTTTAAATAAAGCAGAAGTAAAAATTTTTATATATTGAAAAATAAACTTTGTTTCTCTATATTTGGTGACTATAAAAATATGAAAAATATTTTTGACTATATAATTTTATAATAATAATAATAATGAGTGTTTTTCATATTTCTTAAATTTTCATTTTTATATTAACAATCTAAAATACTTTTTTCTTAAATATTAATTCCTACCTTATAGAATTTGTTAATCTATTTTAGCACTTAAATTTTTTATGGACAATATAACCCCTGCCTTCCCTAAGCATCTTTTTACAAATAAAATATTTCATATATTAAAATATAGAAATAAACAAAAATGCAATTTATGTTTTTTGTTTTATATGTATGGCGCCACATATAATTTATTCTTACTTATTTTTATTAGCGGTCCTGTTAATGATGTTAGAAACGAAGAAAGTAGACATTATAGGTATTCAAGGAACCCACTGTCCAGGAAATTACACTGCTAACGGATACCACTTCCAACAGCTGGTGCGAGATTGCATTTCTAATAAATAAACAAATACAAAATTTCATCACCAAATTCGCACCCATTAAAGATATCTTCTCTATTTAAATACACCCCCACCTAATAGAAATTAAAGATTGGGCTTTATTGATATAATAATTAACATTATTCACTCCCTACCATGTAGATATATAATAATTTTAGGTGATCTAAATGGGTAAAGAAGCCGAATATGTTAGTAGCAATGTCACTGGGTATGCTATGCTACAACAAACTAATGGCGAAGATACAGGCGCGTACGCAGGAATTTGGTGAAAGGGGGGGGGGGGGGGTAATAAAATTTTTAAGTAAATTTATTAGGACTAATAACTATTTCTAATACACAATTTTAAATTTATGTGAATTATAAAAAAATCATATGTAAAGAATCACTTAAATGACCCAAAATAGAAATTTGATTTTTTTGAGCCTTTACACAAAAAATTTCTTAGGAATAATTGCATTTTGTATGTTATATATTTACAATGT